GGGCTAGAGGGACACATCAGGGCCTAAAGGCCCGACCTTGGGGGTACTACAGGCCATAAAGGCCTCACCTTGGACCAGACCCGACGGGCAGGCCGAAACGACATTACCGTTTGGGCCTGGCGGCGCTCTTGAGGCTGCCGCCCGCCGGTTGGGGCTGAACCGTCCATCTGGACGGTCAGGGCACGGTCAGGCCTCGCAGCATAGAGGCCGACCTCTGCCCACCGATACAAAGGTACCGGTCCAGCCTCAGTCAGGCCATCGACCTACCAACATTCTACCGGTACGGTATGGTACAGCGCGATACAACGCTGGCGCTAAGATTAGCGCAGGAGCAGCGAGGAACAGCGCAGCGCAGATTAGCGCAGCAGCAGCGGCGACTGGGTTACCGGCGGCCATAGCCGCCTGAGGTATTGGGAGTTGGAGGCTTCTCTCCTCCCTCCCATCGCCAATCCCCTCTCTCTCTCTCTCCTCCTCGGCTCCTTCTTCTTCTTCTTCTTCTTTTTCTTCTTCTTTTTCTTCTTCTTCTTCAGATTGGAGACTTATACTAGATGGACAGAGATCAGTATCGGACTTCGGTGGTATGAGACTGTGGTACTTACTGGATTGGAGACTTGGAGATTGTTGGGGTTGATACTCGGCTGCATCACAGTTCGGACACCGGTTACATTTGGACTCTGTACGTCCGACATTGGTGACCTATTGTCCTCGACATTTTGATCTTGTTGGATGACATTTTGGACTATCATATCGATAACCTATCAGATTCTATCTCGGCGACCTTCTGTGCTGTCTACCTCCCCCACCTCCTTCGTCTCTCCTCCCCCCTCTCATCTGTGTATGCGTGTACGAGGTCTGGGCATCGTCTATGCTTGGCCCAGACCCCACCATCTCACGATTGTATGTGTGGGGAGTGATTCTTGAGTCAGTCTGTGTGAGTCAGCCTATGTGAGTCAGTCCGGTTATCAGACTTCCGCTGCATATATGCTCATCCTACATTGGTTGATCTTTGGTTCYGCCCATACTCATTGAAGTATGTAACAGTCCAATTGCAGAAAGAAATTAATATACTTGGGTGGAGAGAGAAGGTTAGAAGAAGAAGAAGAAGTAAGAAAGAAGAAGAAGATGATGTACACCAGCAATAGACAAATGACATAAGCTCTTCTTCTTCGCTCAAAACTCTCTTCCTCCTTATCTCCTCCTCTCTTATTCACTCAAGAATTAATAACAAAATGTTGAATACCTGAACCAGAATCAAAGTCCGAATCCCTCTTCCACTGCAGGTATCACTTGAAGTCCACCATAGCCATGACCGCCTCTCCCACTCTTCACTCGCATAGGCTGAGGCTATGGCAGACTACTAGGCCTTGCCCAGATGCCCAAAGGACAACCCAAAGCAGCTGTGGCTGCTCTAGCTCAGGCCGCCATGCCTGACCCTGCCTCGAAGCTTCTTGGTGTAGCTCAACCCCAGCTGGGGCCTTCCTGCTGCAGCACCCACCAAGGTGATGAAGATGGCTGCCACCATAGCCAGGTAAGTCCCTCTGGCGCTCCTCCCCCTTCCTGTCCTTCTTCCTCCTCCGAGTCCTTGCTTCTTCCCCAGCAGCGGTGCTCCAAGCTAGCGCTGCTCCAGCCAGCGCTCCAACCAGTGTGTCGCCAAACTTGCACACCGTAAATGAGGCTGGGCTCTTCGCCCGGCCTGGAGATATAGCGGCTTGCTTGCCTCTTGGGCGGTGACTTCCAGGTTGCTCAGCCCTCCCAGCAACCGGTACCTCCTTCCTTATGGAGGGAAACATCATTGCAGAATCTGATATTGGCCGTACATGCCCTAGACTCAGACTGGTTGGACTGGTACCCGCCTAGACCTAGCCTACAACTATTGGGCCTCTCAAAATGCCACATTTGTCTTCTTCTGCTCGGCCTCCAGTACCCGCACATCTACCTCTTCAGGGTGCGGTACCGGCCTACCTGCTACTTGAGTGTTTTCCCCCGCTGCAATCCCTCAATGTCACGGCCATAGGTAAGTACCGGCCCTGAGGGCCCGACCAACAAACAAGTGCCCTTACGGGCCACGCACACACTCAAGCCAACCAGCACTCAGACACAGACATGCAGTTCAGCAAGTGTGCACACACACAGACTTAGTAGCAAGCGGGAAACTCAGCAAGGCATTCAGTCCATAAGCAAAACTCAGAAATCAGCCGTGTTTCAGTCCATGTTTGGCCGGGTCATCACACTACTCCCCCCTCAAGAGCAAGGTCCCTTTGAGCGAGTAACTCATTCTGAGTCCCCGACAAACGCATCGTAGGCAAACACGGCAAAGAGATTTCGAGAATACTCTGTTGTAGTGAGCTTGGCAGAGATTTTAGGTGCATCATTAGAGGCAATTTGTCGCTCGTAGGCTTTAACAACGCGCGGTGCGCTGCGCAGCACGTCCTGCTTGGAAATCCAGTATAAATCATCCAACGGGTGGTACATGAAATGAACCTGGTACTGTCTGTTGTGTTGTTCATTCCCTACGTGCTGTTTAATTTTGTTTATCTCATGCCCGCTTTGATTACACGAGGAATCATGTCTTCACGGTAATCGAACGACTTCGCATCAAGGTGGAGATAGAGTTTTGATGCATGAAACACGGGATATGTGCGCAGATGAGGTGGCACAACAACCACGTATGAAGGGCCAAATTTATCTTCGCCAATCACATCCAGAACTTCCCACGGACCATAATAGAGTGGGAGAAGTTTACGTGATACTCCCTCTTCTTTTGAAAACTCAGACATCTTGACCCAGACATAACTTCCCACCTCGATATCGGAAGGTCGGCGCTTCTTGTTTGCATGTTGCAATAGCAACTTTGAGCAAGCGATCGTACTTGGCCCTGAAGCCAGGCCTGCCAAGTGTTAAACCAGTTGGCTGCTCAGGGAATAGGTAGGAGAGCGGATTACGAATCTGCTAACCGTAATGGAGCCTGTTTGGTGTCATGTCGGTGGCAGAATGAATGGACTTGTTGTACAACGCCTTGACGGAATACAGCTCTTCATCTCATGTTTCCTGATCCGGAAAGATTAAAGTGCGGGGAAGTTGGAACACAGTCTGGCTGATTTCCTCAGCCAAACCGTTGGCTTTGGGGTGTCGGCCAGATGTCATGCACAGCTTGAGGCCAGGGAGTTCGAACGTGAAGTCTTTCCATTTAGTACTAATGAAGCGCTGATCCCGATCACTCACAAGAGTTTTCGGAGTTCCGAACTGCAGAATGTACTTTTGTCTGAACTCACGTATCACCAATTCAGTTGGAGCATGAGATGGCAAAGGAATCAGATTAGGAAATTTAGAGAAGCGGTCAACAATCACTATGACTTGTGAGTAGCTGTTCTTACTTACCTTTCCCATGTCGGTGAAGGCGATAGAGACAGACTCGTCAGGACCATCGAGAATGGGAAGGGGTGTAAGTAGCCCCATTGACTTTTGTCTACATGGTTTGATTTGTTGACAGACTCTATATTCAGCCACAAACCTTTCAGCAGATCCCTTCATGCCAGGCCAATCAAATTGTCTCAATAGGTTCCCGTATGTCTTTGCCATGCCGAAGTGTCCACTTCGGCCATGAGCCAAGTCCAGAAAGTGTGTGCGGAGAGGCTCATGGTTGGGCACACACAAACGGTCGTGGTTCCCGTAGTCATGAAAATCAGGCTGGCTGATGGGGTCAGCCTGCAGCTGTTCAAGGATGGGACTAAGGTTCGAATCCTTGGCAGTGTGTTCTACGAGCTCCTCCTTCAGTTTCTTCCGGAGGTCGTAGGAATTTACAAGGCAAGTCATGTACTCAGGGTGGCGAGATAATGCATCATCAACTCGATTGTAACAACCCTTTTTGTGTCTCAACTCAAAGTAAAAAATGTCAATTTCATGGAACCAGCAAGTAACATAGGAGATAGGGTAGTTTGCTCTTTGATCCTCTTCAGAGTCTCATGATATGAGAACACTTTGAAGTGGCGTCCCAAAAGATAGTGCTTCCAATGGTCCAAAGCCATACGCAAAGCATAGAGCTCGCGCATGTAGGTGGAAGTGGCTACCTTTTCGCTGGACATATGCGTTTGCTGTAATATTCGAGCGGCCGCAGACCATCGTCGTCATCTTGCTGCAGCACTGCGTCAATTCCATACTGGCTTGCATCCGTAGTGACTACGGAAGTCACTTTGGAGTCTGCAATGCGGAGTACAGGGCAACTTACCAAAGCTTCTTTCAAAGCTTGAAAAGCGTCCTCGCATGCGGTATCCCAAGAGTAGGGAATGTTCTTACTTGTTAACCGGGACAACGGGCGAGCGACAATAGAGAAGCTGGGCACAAACTTTCGGTAGTATGACGCGAGACCAAAGAAAGAGCGCAGTCCGCGGATGTTCGCGGGCTGAGGCCAATTGTGTATGACTTCAACCTTGGTTGCCTCAGGCTCTAGGCTTGCAACAGACAACCGATGCCCAAGATAGATGACGCTATCCCTCCCAAACTCAGATTTTTCTAAGTTGAGATGAAGTTGCGTCTTCTTGAGGATGGTGAACACTTTCTCCAGGTGCTTTATGTGTTCCTCCATGAATTTGCTGAAGATCGGTATATTATCAAGGTATACTACCACGAACCGGCCAATCTGTTCGCGGAGGACCTTGTCCATGAGGCTTTGAAAGGTGGCTGGTGCGTTCGTGAGACCGAAGGGCATTACGGTAAACTTGTAAAACCCATCGCGTGTTTTGAACGCAGTCTTGTGCTGGTCCACAAAATCGACTTCAATCTGGTGATAGCCAGACTTGAGGTCGATCTTGGAGAAGACCTTGCACCCACCTGCAGCATCAAGCAAGTCATCTATGCGAGGCAATGGATAGGCATTCTTTCTTGTGATGCGGTTTAGACCACGATAGCCAATACACATACGGAGCTTGCCTCCTTTCTTCGGGACAAACAAAACAGGGGCACCAAATTCAGATTCGCTAGGCTTGATCCAACCCTTGTCAATCATTTCATCAATCTACCGTCGGAGATCCTCCCAACTCACTGGATCCTATTCGGTATACGCAACCCTTTGGAGGAACAACACCTTCGACCAACTCGATGGTGTGTCGGACCGATCACGTGGGAACTCCACGTGGTTCGTCCAGAACTTCTGGGAACCGATCAAGTAGGTTTTGGATGTTTGTTGGGATCGGCGGGGGTGAAGGGTCAGCAAAGGGATCACCTAGATCAGGTCGCAGGTTGCAAATGGATGCAACCGAATCCGAAGTAGAATCATTTAGATTAGGGGTAGGTAAGGAAGTAGAGGGGCTAGAAGTAGAATCACTAAATGAAGTAGTATTGGTACTAGCCGCAAAAATAGATGGCACATGAGTAGGACGAACAAAGGCAACCTACAATTGTTCATCCTCCTTGTGCTTGAGCCATTTCTTGCAGAACGGCATGACATTTAGAAAAGTCACTGGGGACTCGTGCTTCTCATCCAAGAGGACGGGAAGCTCGTTCCCTTGAGCATCTTTGACCATGAAAAGTGACTCCTTCCACTTGGTCCATTCACATTGGGACTGCAACCAGCCCAAGCCAAGGACAACGTCAAAGGGACACTTGTCAAGGACATAGAAGTTCAAAGCGTGGGTGACGGTTTTGTTCTTGACAAAGGTAGTATGCACACCTTTGACTGCATGCGTAGAGGAGACAACTTCTTTGTTGTCTACTTGGGTCCGACAAGGATTCTGCAAAGCCACTTGCCTCATTCCCAAGCCCACTTTGCGTATCCCGTGTGGTGACATAAAGTTAGTAGTCGTACCACAATCAATCAAGACACAGAGATAGCGGTGGTTTATGAGAAGTTTGAAGAAGATTTCATCACTGTCCCTTGGGCACGCTGATGTTTCATCTCAACCCAATGTTCCAAGTCGTAGTGGAAGTCAACCGTCTCAGACCCCTCCCAAGGCGCGACATACAAAGCATGGCACACTTCAGCCTTGGACTCAGCCGATGATTGGGCTTTAAGGGAGGACTGTTGATTTGCATCAGATTTAGTCTCCCTTGCCGTAGAGGATGCTGAAGTCAACTCTACGCCCGGTTCGGGTTTCCCTGCAGCCTATAACATTCGTGTACTTCATGGTTTGGTTTTTGACAATGCAGGCATACCCCCTTCTTGAGTCTAACCCTCCAATCATTTTCAGTGATCCGGAAGTCAACCCATGGTTTAGTGGCTGCATCCTCCGGATTCGTTGGGATTTTGACTCCCTTGGAAAGTTGGACACAGTTCTTCCCTGAATTCCGATTCGGTTCCTTAGCATAGGTAGTCCTTTTGAAGGCAGTGAATTTTTCTTCTTCATGATTTGTGTCAGACTCATGGGCTAAAGAGGAAAAGGTTGTATCAGCGTCCTGTTCTTTGTCGTCACCAAGAGTGGGGTCATCTGCATAGGCCTCCTCTTCAGCCTCCAACAGGTCATGCACAACAAAGCGGCTGCTGCCTCTGAACCGCCTGCCGGCCATGGGCTTTTTGCTGCCTACTGTGGAAATGAG